AAGATGAGAACTGGCGACTTGGTAGTACAACTTTAGTACGCGGAGTATCTGGGGAGTGGGAAGATGAGAACTGGTGACTTGGTAGTACACTGACTTGGTAGTACAACTTTAGTACGCGGAGTATCCGGGGAGCTGGAAGATGAGAACTGGCGACTTGGTAGTACAACTTGAGTACGCGGAGTATCTGGAGTTGGAAGATGAGAACTGGCGACTTGGTAGTAGAACTTTAGTACGCGGAGCAATCTGTGGAGCTGGAAGATGAGAACTGGCGACTTTGTAGTACAACTTTAGTACGCTTCATTCCAGCTTGCTTTTTTCAGTGAGATTTCCTGGAGGCGTGCACGCTGCTTCTCCCCTTACCAGCAGCCCAAATGCTCACGACGATGAGCTGGGCTGTCACCGCTTGGCCGCCGGTGGGGGGTTTGGGAGGCCTGCGCACTAATTCGTTCACTATATGTACAGTGAAGACCTTCACGAGCAGCAGACATGGACATACACACACAGACAGGGACTCATACACACACACAGACAGAGACTCATTCATACACACACGGACATAGATACACACACAGAGACCCACACACTACCTCAACTCACTCGACTAAACACTTCACACTGCACACTTAACAGATATATAACTCGCACTCTGACTTCCTACGTGATGAAAAATGCTTTCGGGCCACTCGTCGTCTAGTTCAACCTTTTTCATCCAGATCATTCTATTGTAATCTTTTGTATTCTTCCTTCGAACCACTAAGTTTGGGCTCTTTTTGTTGGCCTTTTTCTGTTGTGCTCAAGTGAGACACAGTGTCACCACTTGGCTGCTTTGGTGAGATTCGGGCAGCCTTCTTTCAACTCAGAAGACATTGGGAATTGCTTCGACATTGCAACGTTTCGAGAGATGCCCGATGAAGAGGTGCCGGCCACCATTGCCAAATACACTTTAGTCAAGAGTCAAGAGCATGTTCCTTCGGAACTGCCTGCATTGAGTAAAGTGAGATGTGAGAAACTACAACGCTTTCGTACATCAAGTGGAGGATTGGGCACTCAACACAAGATGCTCTAGGTCAAGGGAGATTCTTTGAATTGTGCTGGTAAAGCCAGAGCGTTGCCAAAAGTCGGGCTTCTTCTTGCATCCACACTTCTTCTTTGGGCACTTGCCATTGATACAAGACCATCCATAACCATCACAGTCATTCACACAATTCCTGAAGAAAGAAACAAAGCCGCAGCCATGGCAAACCCAGGAGTGTCGACCACCACAGGCTGAGCAGTTGGCGTTGGAGCCAGGGTTCAAAGTGCCACAACTAAACTCGATCTTCTTGGACAAACAGAACTCTTTCACATCTTTTGCCATTGCTGACATGAATTGGTCTGCTTTTTTCAGATCCTTTGCCTCGTCTGCTCTCTTTCTGTGTAGTGTAAAGCTAATCTTGGCATCTTGTTCCTCCTTAGCCTTTTTCTTCATCTTCTTCTTCTTCAGGTTTTCACCCGAAAGCCACGAGACAAATTCCTGTAAATCGATGACCCCATCGCCATTGACATCGATCTCACCCATCATCTTGTTGAGTGTCACCTCCGTGAACTTTGGATTCACCTGCTGCAACACGTCTTTCAACTCCTCGGAGGAAACGGTGCCATCTCCGTCCTTGTCCCAGGCCAGAAAGGTCTCCACCAATTGGCCGAGGCCTTTATCATCGCAGTCAACCACAGTAACATTTGAGGCTTGCATGTGGAGGCTGATAGGGAAGTGCTTTGAGTCCAGCGTCGCTGTCTTGTCCTTGAGAATCTCTTTGAGTTCAATGCTCTCCCCACTCGCGCTTGTGGCGTGATATTTCAAGCCTTCTTCTTCCTCTTTGAAGCCTCGCCTTTTCAAAAGCTTTCCAACCTCTGCCTTCCAATCTTCGCTCCAACTGATTTCCTCTGCCTCTTTTTGAATTCCTTTCTGGTACGTAGCTTTCACTTGGTCCAAGGTTGCCAAATTGTCTGACACCAGCCAACCAATGTCTTGATGGTTGACTTCACCATCTTTGTCTTGGTCGCACTTTCTGTATAGCTCCTCCGCAACAGCTTTGGAAAAGCCCGCTTCCATCTTGGCTTTAACGAAAGCATCTCGACTCAAGATCAGACCTTGCTCTCTTTCGGCTTGCCTTTGGGCCTCTTTTGCTGCTTTGGCTTCTTCAGCTGCTCTTTTTTCGTGAAAAACCGCCAGCCGCTCCTCCGTCTCTGAGACCTTTCGCTTGTTCTCCGCCACCGCCATGTCCAACAGCGCTGGTCGGTACATCTCGGTCGACCGTCCATCGTGGCCGTTGACCCAACTCCAAAACTCCACGATGGAGAGCTCACCATCCTTGTTCTTGTCAAACTCTTCGATCAAACCTTCAACCTCCTTCTCAGTCCAGGAACTCAAACCCAACAAGACATGCTTCAGCTCTTCCACATCGATCTTGCCGCTGTGGTCAGCATCTAGCAGTTCGAAAATCAACTTCACTTCCTCTCCCTCAGATTGAGGTTCTTGCATGACACGATTCTTGCGACCTGATCAAAACTTCATGAGGCCGCAGGTACGCCATGCCCACCCGGCATGACTTGAGCCAAAACGCATCATTTTGTCGGTCTCTACAAACACATCAATACATTTGTGTTGAACTTTAGAGAAAAACAGCAGGGTGAACTACTTGTTTGGTGTGATATCATATTCAACATGGATCCTTAGGCCTCTCTTGTCAAGATGAACAGCTGGGAGATGTTTCGCTCTTCTCACCTGTTGTTGTTGAGCTGTTTCAGCCGCCCATCTGGAGGCGCCCGTGGCAAGCTTCGGTCTGCAGCCAAAGCTGCAAGGCCTGGCCAAACGAGACGAGCCGATGTCAACAGAGCTGAGGTGTTGTTGGATAGATTCAACATCACACGATGTCAATAGATGTGTTGCCTATGAAGATCCATGAAGCAATATTCAATAGACTATCATAACTATCATATCATCTCTGTTGTTCTTTGGGCAACTGGGAAGAAGATTCGTGGCAAAACGTCGTAGCTTTCGGCGGTCTCTCTCTCGTGCCATGTCCGGTGTCCAAACCCATCAGAGTAGTTCATGGCAAACAGCAGCTCTTGGGAGCTGACTTGGCATTGACTGGCTCTTGGGCCTTAGCACCATAAGGCTGCGAAGAGTTCTCCCACTTCTGGAACTGTGGTGGACTTCGTATAAGTTCATCCATGTTCATCCCTTCAAAATTTCTGTCAACTATGTCAAACGAGGTTGTCTCGAACCTGGAGGGGTTTCCAGCTGACTCAACGAACCTGATTGAAGGATTTCCTACGGATCCACCTCAGCCACTCTGGGCCTTCCACGGTTTGCAAATCCCCAACGCTTCGGCTTCCGGATACCTTGGCCACGGCATCTGAGTGGAGAATGTCGCTGAAACTTCGTTTGCCGAAATGTTGGACTTTTTGGGCGATGGGTGCTGTACTTCAGTCACCCAAAGAACTATACAGCCTTACACACGATCTTGAAAGGTCTGGTCTGCAGGGATCAAGTTGTCCTATGATAAATATTCTCAAATCTGCATTCAACGAAGCTTGCGAGGTCTTTTAAGAGTGCCTGTAGCATCCTTCTACGTGCTTGGAAAGGGTTTGTCTCAAATGTTCCAACAACTCAGGGGCCACAAAGGATTAGAAGGTTTTGGTGCTGTATCCATGTGCATCCCACACAGTGCAGGATGTCTTCCACCAACATATCTAATCTCATTTGCTCTTGTTCTTTGAGTGGATTTTCTTGGTTCGTGCTTAGTGCTTTGGTCCCTGACCGTTTCCGCACTTTGCTTTGCTCCACTGCCCTCGCACCTCAGTGAATGCAAACATTGAGCACATTTGATTACTAGATATTATAGCTACTGTATATACTAGTAGCTTCTTGTTGCTAGTAGCAAAGGCCTCCAACCTAATAGCGATGGCCTCCACCTAGTAGCTTCTTGCTACTAGTAATATTGCTCGCGAATGCAAAACTGCCAAAACAACTCTGCGATTGCCACACATGTCATCTTTCTTCATTAGGCAGTCCTTTGCCCGCTAATGGGGCAAAAATGACAGTTTGCTTGGGCAAATGCTGCTACGAGTGGCAAGCAGCCATCCGATTTCCTGCAAGCAGCTTCAAACACATGCGGACACGCACGCTCTTCGCATTAACGCCCCAAGACAGGGGCCACAGCCAAACTCAAGGCCCCTATTGAGCCGAGAAAGGGTGGTTCAATGACCCCAGTTAGGACAAACCTCCAATCCAACCTATCTCCACCACATCAGTTTCGCACGCCATTAGTATCCATTCGTAAAAGTCCTCCTGGCCTACTAACCATACTGCCAGGTCTAACAGAATTTGGGACAACAATTCCTCATTCCTTCTACACTGACCCCTGATCTTCCCCAATCATCTCCATCTTAATCCCTTAAAGGCTGCTTTGACCTATCATTATCGGAACAACGGCCCGTCCTGAGCTCCAGTGCAGGGGATGTCCCACTTCTCCGGAGGGATCTGAGCTGGGACGACGTCACCGAGACCATCGTCACAAACGACCAATCCTGGGTGTTCCAAGTCTAAGTGGTTTGGATCGAACTCCTGGGCTTGCCCGGTTCTTACAACACAACTGTCACCGAGTCCATCTGAGTCACCTTTGCCTCCCATCTGGGCCTTGAGATTGTGCATCAAGGCATTGTAGTCAAAGCTTGACTTGTCGCCCTCTGCCGACCTTCAAAGGTTTTTCTCAACACACAGAGACCATCAAGGCGTGCGTGGAGTCGGAATCGGTCACGCCCGCTGAGCCACTTCTATGCAGCACACGTGGATTCCTTGCCTCTCCCGAAGCAATCCGAAGCATCTTCCCGTGGTGTATGACTTCGACTCAATGGACACGCAATACCTGAGGTCCCTGACATAATCGCTTGCGGGGTGTTCTTTTCCACCTGAGCAATGACATCCAAATCTCCCTCAGCCTCAAAGGATCTGATCTCATTGTTAAGCCTCAAAGTCTTGTTGCCCATTGGCAAAGCCCGTCCCTCTCCAAAACAACAAACATATCCTATGGCAGGAGCTTCAAACAGCACATGATTTACCAGGTGCTGCGAGGTTCCGGTGACGCATCATTCCATGCAAAGCAACCTTCATTCCTTCCAACCATACAGCCTCGCCTTTGGCGCAAGGATCTCCAAACGGCTATGTCCTCAAGCATGACTCAAACGGTCGAGTCGAGCCCAAACAAATGAAATATTCTTGCTCACCAACAAATACATTCATCACAAAATCCTCACAAAAGGGAAACATCCATTGCACAGCTCCCTAGACGAAAACCAGGACACATATGCCGAACTGGCGGCACCTCTTCGGTTCGAACGCTCTTCACGCCGAGTCACGGTGGTTCAAGGCCTGAGTTCTTTGGTTTCGACAGCTGGATCTTTAGGATTAACAAATGACTGTTCGGACTGGAAAACTCCAACGAAGACATCCAGTGGCACAAGGCATCCCTTCTTCATCTTTTTCTCTTCCAAAAAGCGAGCTCCAAAGCGCCACGAACCGCCCAGCTATTCAGGTCCGAGACACACAAAAGTCCCCCAAGCGCTGAGCATTTGCCAGGTTCATCACCTTGGACCAAATGGGGTTCAGGTACTGATTGTGTTGTCAACATATTTTCTTTAAATATGTTTATCATGATCTGAAAGCAAACTCTTGGTTGTTCATGCTCATGAAAATTACAGCTGGGACTTGGCCGATTGGCATGCCTACCACTAACATGGATTTTTGTTCAAAGGTACCGCTTTCTTGGGCATGTTTCTACAATTTTCCAATCGAAAAGAACAACACCAACATGCACATCACAGCAACTGACACTGAGTGTCCTCTTTTGGTGACCAGCTCTATAGGACTCCCCGCGAAAGGCTGCGGCCCAGGATTTGCTTCTCGGGCCTGGCTCCCAAGGACCAAAAGATGCCATGGGCATAGCGGTCATGGGATGTGATGGGTCCATGAGATGTTCTTTCCATGACGTCACCATACGCCCATACGTCGATGGCCTCCTCCCACCTAGAAGCGATGGCCTCCCACCTAATTGCGATGGCCTCCAACCGAAGAGCGATGGCCTCCACCCCGCTAGCGACTTCATGAGATTTTGTTGGTCGGTCATGCATTTAAATGAGCCTCTTGGTATAGCCTGGTCTCCTTGTTCAAGGTCTCCTGGTGTGGGCCAATGCACAGACTTCATGCAGACTCAAACACCAGGTGTTGAGAAACCTCCGGAAGACTGAAGACAGATTCTGTCAAGCAAAGTTCCGCCACTTTGCCTTCGAGTTGTTCCCTTTCAAGACCTCCCGGAATCTTCTGGAATCCTTGGGACTCTATGCTACCGGACCTACCGCCGGAGCAGAGTCCAAAGACATCAATTTTCTCCTTCCAGATGCACTCTGCAGAGACCCTGTCAACGTAGTGAGGGATGCCTAAGTCAAGTCCGAGAAAGCACGTCCAAAGAATATGCAGTTGATATACTTCTTTCTCGTCCTTCAACTTAGGGAAGATGATCAAAAAGCACTTGAACCTAGGCATGCTGCAAATTCATGGACCATCACGAAATATCATGAATGCCCTTTGTTGCTAGCTTCTTGACTAGTAGTAATGCCCTTTGTTACTAGACATGCACAGCTTCGGCCTGGAAGCATCCCTCGCGTCGTGGAGGTCGGCTTCGATGGATCCATGCCGAGCACCTCGGACGCCTGAAAACTGGTCCCGTCAGCGAACGCTTCGGTTGGAACGGCGTGGCAAGGAGTATATAATATACCTGAGTCCATTCCCGAGCCAAAGCTGGTACAAATATGTACAAATACTATCAAATACTTGTACTACCAATAGCACTAATTAAGTGATTAAAATGTAGTGTCAGAAGCTTTAAGATTCAGTAAGTCGTAAATATGTAGTATAGTAGGAGCAAGGGGAGGAGTGGGAGTGGGAGTAGGAGCAGTAGCAGCTTTATGATCCTGCGACCAAGAGCTGGAACCCGCTCTTCAATCCTCCCGTGAACAGTCCCACTGGGGTGAACAGTCCCACCACTGGCACCTCTATGTCAAAGTATTGCCATCAGCATCTTGAGCCAAAAGGCCACTCGAATCGAACCTCTTCTATCTTCTCTACCTCCTACCTCTCTCATGAGGGTATACAGTATGACAAGAGATTCGAGAATGGATTGAGGTAGTAAGGATATATGGAGAAGATTCGAGTATGACGTAGTACTTGACATGGTCGGACTCGTCACGGATGGATGCGCGTGTGGTAGTATGACCCTCATATACCATGTCCAATAGATGAAGAGGAATTAACAGGAGTCAACTCTTGAGCTTTCCAGACTGGACATTGCCAGACTGGACGGGTCACACTGAGATAGAGATGCCCATTGCACTTGTTTGTGTGTTTTTCCAGTTGATCGAGCTACGAGCGACATAGCGCAACGTCGACATTGGACGAAAATAACGCGCCAAACACATTGGTCTGGCACAGGTTCTGCGAAGCTCTCTATGATTCTCTATCGGTGCACGTGACCGTGATCTGTGGTGCGGGTATATCAGCTTTCCTTCACCCCAAAACGGAACCGCTCGTCTGCAAAAGCTCTCGCTTCCGCGAAAAGGTGCTGCTGCTGATGCTGCCGCCACAGGGTATCCTGTGGCCCAAGAGGATGGGAAGAACATGAGAATAAGCTTTGGAATCTCGCCATTCTGTGCGTGACATTGTGTGACCACTATGCGTTGCTTGTGGTTTCTTACACCAGAGGTGAAATGAAGGTCTTGACATCTAATGGTGCCTTTTCTGCATTCAACACGAACACAACTTGTGACAAGTCGCAGCGCCGCCGAACGGCGCTGTCGTCGACGCTGTTCAAGCGCTCCAGGCGTCCTCTTCATTTGGAAATCCAAGGGCTTTGCATCGGTATCGAGGCCAGACTCCCCAGCCTTCGTTCAAATCAGGGAGTAAGTGCTCATTTTGGAGGCACATGGAGGCACATCTAAAAGCTCTTTAACATTCTTTAACACACTGCCTAGCGATGGCCTCTAACCTGCCCACACTATGAAGAACTATGATAACTATGAATGGACCCTGCGAGAAGTGGAGAAATGGAAAACAACTAGGAACAAGGACGCTACTAAGTAGGGGCTCCTGGCATCGCTACTAGGAGCAAAGAAGCTACTAGGGGCTCCTGGCCTTAGTTGCTAGGAACAAGAAGCTACTAGGAGCAAAATGGCAGGAGCCTGAGGAGGACTCGATTCTTTGGCTGTCTGAGCGGACCTCGATGAGCTCGCGCATCAGCCGGCCGGCCACGCCCGCATTCTTGAACTGATTTCCGCTGGTGCCAATGGCCATGTAGAAACCTCATGGAACAACTGGACACAAACCCACACCAATGTCATCCAATGTCCAATGTCGGCACAGCAGTCAAGATGAGTTCAAGTCATTGCCCCCATAGCACCTCTGTTTTGGAACATACCTTTTGCGCTAATTGAATCTGTGGAGTACTTTCCAATCCCATCCTCACCTGGCAAAGCTGACTTGTCGTAGATTGGCACCCAGTCCTTTGCGTCAGCACAGTGCTGAGTGAGACTGGCCAAGAGAAAGAGAGAGAGAGAGAGAGAGGGACTGATTACAAAGAAGTTATGTACGAGTACCTGATATAAATTGAGTATATAATTAAATGATTCAATTCAATTGCCCTTCATGAAACTGACCTGTTCCCACTTTGCCCGCCCCAGGGGTTCTTCTCCTCCGTGACATCGTAGCAAGCCGCACAGCCTTGAACGTTCCCTGCTTCGGGCAGCGGCAACGTAGGGATCCGCAAGGCCAATCGATAGACCTGTGATCTGCTAGGCCAAGCACCACAAGTGTGATCAAATGACCCATGAGTGCTGTGAATCAATCAGGCACACGTCTGTGCTGTCCCATGCTGTGTCTGCAAGGCACACGTTGGCTGTCATGTGGACTTCAATGTGAAACACTGCAAGGTGATTTTACCAAAAGCAAACAAGGCCCTTGTGGACCAACCTAGTGTTATCAGGAGGTCCCCTCCTTGTGAGCTTGTACTTCGGGGCAGATCTGATAAAAAGATATAAACAGCTACATTGGTCCAAGTCCAACATCGGTGAATCTCCTTGAAACCTGTCATTCAATCCCTCATGTTTCACGAACCTGATTGGTCCACTGATCTGTCAAGGATGCCAGCTCCCTGCCGGGATACACCGCCTGCCAGGTGCAAACGAAGGAGTCTGACCGAGCCCTGAAGGTAAACTGATAGGCTGATAGCTAACATGTTGCATGCGGCTGTGCACACACCCATTTACGCAAAAAACAATATCCTTCCGCTGTTGAATCATCCTGTTCATGTGTCGTCATAGAACATGAAATCCATGAAGCATCATGCTGAGAGTAATGCTGAGCAACCATGCTGCTTAGAATGATCCTGTAGAAGAAAGATCAAAGGAACCGCATGCACATAAGACGTGAGGCCTCTGGATCTGAGGGGTAGATGTGGAAGTTCTCGTCGCAGGAAGGTTCCACACTCCCCACCAAGATCTTGCCACCCACTTCGGGCCTGGGCGCCGATTTGGAACGACCGAACGACCAGGTCCTGCGGCCGACTGCGGCCGTTCAGCTCAGGGAACGGCCGAAAGTACACGCCAGCGTCCATGTCGGTACACACCAGCCCTTCGCCACCATCATCCCAAGAAACCTCCGGGGGAGAAGCGACATAGGCCACCTCCTCGCAGTCTGGGACGAATCGCTCTGGGAGAGGTGGAATGCTTCGTGAGCACAATATTTGTGACATCAATCCATCTATAATCCATTTGAATTCAGTGTTCTTCTCACCAAAAAGCATCGAATTCAATGGAACTCATCTCTGTTCAGCCGGACTGTCCGCCCATGTCCGCCCCGTCCTGGCGCATGGGTCGCGTAGAGATGGTCATGTCATGCTTCTCTCCCAGTGCCATGCCGGTGATCTGGGACGAGTGTGGCCCAGCCACGTTCACCACCACCGGAGCCTCGAGCTCCTCCGTCCCACAGCGGACACCTGGCCAGGACGGCCAGGTCGGTGAACATCAACACTTTTTTTGACCTTCTAGCTTCTTGTTACTACTAGTAAGGCACTTGTTACTAGTAGCGATGCACTTGTTCCTACTAGCTTCTTGTTCTAATCCACAAAAATGAGTGCTTTCAACCCACAACAAAAGCGACTGCACAGAAGTACAAGTCTAAGTCTTACCTTTGGAGACCTTCCCCAAAACATTGTCCTAGCTAGCTGCTTACAACTGCTTGCCATGAGATTTCGATCAGGTCTGTGGCCATGTCGACCTGCCACACGGCCGTTCCGCTGCAAGATCTCCGTGACGGTCTGCCCAAAGGAGAACTGCGCGTTTCCCGTGGCCTCTTGGGAGGCCGTGTTGCACCACAACCGGAAAGCGACAGGTCGCCCCTCAATACATGGCAAGAGAGGGGATCGAAACATGTTAAAGCAACATGTTAATATGTGGGGCAAGTTTACAACATGCTGCGAAGAATTCGATCCCAACAAATCCTGTCCTGGGTTAAACCTGCACTGCACGTGCATAGGCTTACATGTACAGTAGATGTGAAGAGATCTGCGGATGTCTTTAAACACAATTCTGATTCAGATCAATCTATAAAAACAACTCAGGCAAAACACGTGTGGCCTCAGCAGCAGCTTGCAGATTGCACGCTGCCAACATTGGATCGCTCACGTATCCTGCCCAGCTTGAATGAGGGGCATACTTGTGGATGGTCAGAACGCAACATCTGAGAAGATTCCTATCCTACTACATCATTATAACATCACGACCCTCACTTCGCTCCGGTCCTGTGGTGGGAAAATACACCCCGTCGCCGAGAGGAGCCCCGGTCGGTTCACCAAAGGACTCATCATCGATGCGCACCTGGCGTCAGCATGGGGCCCCAGGGCATTTGCACCATTCAAGAACTCACGAACATCTGAGGAAATCATCTAAGATCCTCGGAGCAACCCTTCACTTCTTGCAAAATCAAAGTTCTGACATGCTCTGAATCAGAATCTCCAATTTCCAAGACCCCTTCGTGACTTTCCACCATGGCCTGCGGACCATAGCGCTGCATGTCGAATGCCAAGCGCTGTTGTATCTCTTCACTGGACCAGTGTTCGAAGGGCAAACCCACCGCCTCATGGCTGGCGACCTCAGAGTGTCCCACCGCTCAAAAGAGCCACGTCCTGGAGATATTGGAACTGAAAGGACCGCACTACTTTGTGTTGTCCATGATCCTAAGGGCACTATAACAAAAAGTATCCCCTTCCAATTGTTGTGAAAGCAGCTCCATCGATTTGGGGATAGTCATCCCAAACCTAGAGCTGCTGACCTTTGACCATCCCTTGCACAAGTACCACCTCAAAACTTTTGTGGTGGATGTGGGACGACTGTGCACACGACTTGTATGTATGAACCAATTTAAACCATGGATTTTTGATACCTGCCTTTGACCTGCCTTATAACATCTTGTAACCTACTATACCTCATGCAAATCGATGCATTTGGAGCTTTGTCCCTTTCGCCCAGCCACCACCCGCTCCAAAAAGAGCTGGCTCTGCGGAGACCGAAGCACCAAGGCGCCACAGCGCCGCAGCCGCGCCAGGCCTCCGGGTGGGTCCTGGCGAAAAGCAAAGACGTTCCCATCTGAGTGGGATGGAAAAATGATGAAAGTGTGAGAATGATATCATGAAAGCGTGGCATCAAACATATCAAGCCCAACAAACCTGAAGATAGAATATATGGCACCATTTTTGTTGCGCTAGAACTTTGCTCTTCTCTGCTTGGCAGAGATTTTGAGCAAGACCGGGGCACAGGATGCACCTTTGTGCCTCTTGGATTAATGTGCAACTCTGTCCCGAGATGCTCTCGCTTGTGCTCTCTGACAGGAAATTCTCGAGAAGTCTCGGCTTCGCTACTTGAAGTGAATCTCACCTAACATTTGATTTTTTTAAAAACACTTCCACAATCTCGATTCCGATTTCTGTGCTCAATACTTCGATATTTCAAGTGCTGTCGCTGTCTGTAGGTCCATCTCATTCCTTGGAATCGGAAACAAGACCTCGTGTCTATGTAACTCGAGTGGTGCAGGCTTGACTGTCAATCTGCTTCGATCCAGATTTCTTCGCTGAACTGCCCCAGCCATGCTTGGGAGGCATCTATGGCATCCCTGCAGCGGTGCATGGCATCATCACATGCCTCGGAAACGGTGGAAGGAACGAATCGTAAGTCGATGAGCCAAGAACTAAATCCATGAAAGCCATGAACTTCTGTTCGAATCCTTAACCCAAATCCAGGAATCAACATAGCTATCATCAAGGTCAAGATACATATCTTCGCAGGATGCATAGAAGTTGCCCTCTCTCTCCGACGTAACCAACCACTTTGCAGGTGCCGTGTGTCAGCTTCTCCCGATCCTGGAATTGTACGACTATGGCGCGGAACATATTCCTGGCAATTGTTTTATCATGAGAGGTTCTTACGTCTCGAACGCGCTTACCCTTGAATGCAATGAGCATGCAGTTTGACCGGTAGATGTCAGCAACTATATATGTACACCCCCTGCACGCGGTCTGGTGAACTGACCAAGGTCTAGTCCTGGCTTTGGACCCTGTATAGAAATTGCCTTTTGAACATCACCAGCAGCTGAAAGTGCTTAGCACTTCTGAATCGCTCAAGCAAGCCCACCCATAATTGTAGCAATTTAACATTTACAATCATTTACAGCCTGCATTTGCAGAGTATCCATACCGCCAATGTGGTACCATTCCCAGCGTCTCCTCAATGGCCCTGGCTCCCTGTGCCGCCGCCTCAGCCACCCGCTGGGCCACATGCTTCGAGCTCATGTCGGCCAGCAGCAGCAGTGGTGGTTGAGGCGTCTTCCTGGGACCAACACCAGCAGATCATGTCACCCTACAAGTGGCCAGCGACAACACCAAGGTTCACTGTATGCTCTTCAGAATGCTAAGAGTAGTTGACAACGAAATGAGGCGGGCAGGCTGATACTCAAAAGCAGTGCACTCCAGGACCTCCAACAAATGCTTCTCATCTTGCTGAATATACGGGAGCCTTTGTTTCACGTGAAGGTCCTATGTCTGGTTGATGCTCCAGCTCTGACAATAAAGAATTATTATCATGAATTAACAAAATGGCAGGGAAAACAGGACCAGTCAGATGTTCCCTGTGTTCTCTTTCCACCTTAATTTTGGCAAAGCGTCTCCAATGCTGCGAGCAGGCTTTCCTCCTCAAACTGGCTCAAACGAAAAGGATCACACAGGAACAACTGATCAGCTGATGCAAGGCAAACTAACTTAAGACTTAAGACCATTCCTTTCAAACACCGTTTGGTCTTGCCATGTCTCCAAAACCCTGTGGCTCATGCACTCCTCAAATGGCTGTTCATCATTGTTCATCCGTGCTTTTGACCGCCTTACTTCTGTTTTCCTTCGCGTTCGGTCTCCGAGCAACGGCGCTGGGCCGTCTCCGGGCTCCTCGGGATCGGAGCCATCCACGCCTGCGAGGTCGCAGAGGCAGCTGGACCTGACGCAGTCGAAGCAGAGGCATGACATCCGGAGTCCCGTTGAACGCTATCAATTCGTGCGTTCAAAAGGTCTTTGGACATCAAAGACAACAAATTCTGGGATGGTTGTCCTTCAACAGAATCTGTGGAGCAAGCCACGTGGTGAATCTTTCGAGCCCAAAGTCTCAGCCTTGCATAAACTGTATGAAGCCACAAGCCCTTATTTGACAAGGTTGCACGGCCCATCAGCCCCCTTAAACTACCATTCTTGCTGACTTCGTAGTCTTGTCTCACGAAAGCCCTTCTGGTCGTGCCATGAACATCGGCCTATTTGCACCTCTTTGCCTGAGGGCCCAGCAACGGGTTTACCAAAGAGCGTAATTACATGTAATTACTGAAATGCTATCTGCATCTATCTCCCAATGATGCCCGACCATGATGGACCCCTGTCGGCCGTCTCTTCAGCAAGTCTTAGAGGGTCTAGAGACTGCAAACACTCAAGCAAGATTTCCTGTGACCTAAGTGCTAAAACTGAACAAATATATAAATATATGGTTAAGAGGGTGAGTCTTGACAATCTTGACCCTGGCCTTAATTTCTCTACTTGCAAGTAGTAAATAGAAAGGATTGGGACATCTTGGGACCCACTTGATGACACGAATACCCCTTAACCGCCACGGGGCCTCACAAAAAATCGGCTGTTGCCTCTTCCGGGTCGGTCCGAGTGGCAAGCAACCCTTGGCCCACTTGGCTTCCGAAGCCACCCGGCCACCACGCTCGGGAGCCGTCAGCAGACGGAGCACGGCCCAAGAGCCTGGGCGCCGCAAAGAGCGGACCGACGGAGCCGGCGAGGCAGGGGACGACTTTGACAGATTCGTGGTCAAATGGCTTCTTGGCCAAACAACTTTTTGTGGAATTCCTGTTCATGATAGCCAAACAACAAGTCACCAAAGAACCAACAAAATGTGGTGGCCGGTCCTCGTAACTCTTGGTGATGCAAGCAACAGATCGGGGCTGATCCCAACCATCTATGATTGCCAAAAAGAACATGTTGTCAATGTCGGGGTGGAGCAAACAAACAAGGACATTGAGTGACAGAGCCAAGTCGGAAAAAAGAAAAGGGCGTTCGAAGCGCCCAACGCACTCCACCGAATCTAAACCCTGTCGTTCGAGACTCCAAACATCCCCCAAATACTTGGCCAGCCAGTTCGCTTGGACTCGTTTTCCATGGCTTGCCGTTCAGGAGCAGCCGTATTCGTCTGTGGTTGTGTCAAAGCATATGGTCGATTGCAGAGTGTTGCCTGTAGTTTACATCGATTTGGGGGGTAACTGTTGGGGGTTCTAGTAGGTATCTTCACCCGACACGAGTGTCTCACTTGGCCAAATGCTGCAAAGCATCCCTCGGACTTGCCGTAGAGATGGAAGGGCGATGGAAAATTGCCTCGAGCGGTGTGGGAGGCACGCGTGAGGCTGAGGATTCATGGTCCATGAAGTGTTGTCAACATTCCGTCCGTTGAGTTTTGAGTCCAATCAGTTTACCTGTGCTCTTTCTTCAAGGTATATTCTGTTTGGATTGTCTGAAGAAGCTTCGGTACTATTTATTTTGTGAATAACATTGGGCAGCCATACAAATGCCAGCCAGCCAGCATACACTGAGCCAGCCATACACTGAGCTTCAGCTAACAAATGGACAGTCAGCCAGCTAGATTACCATCAGCGAGGTGCCGCTGGGTGACCACCAAAGCACGAAAGTCTTCCCCTGCAATGGCTAATTTCTCATCGTTTCTCCCATGGGACTCGGGTGGCACCGTGGCCGAGTGTCATAACAACGGTGGCCTCCAACCTAGTAGCGATGGCCTCCACCCCTATTTGCTCTTTGTATGCCAGGATGCGAGATTCCAAGAATGCTATGGCCGCCAAGGTGTCTGAAACTCGGCGATCAATGCCCTCCTCGCAGATTCCAAAGTGGATATGAAGTAAAAAGGAGACAGCAGCAGCCTGCGTATTTGTCGGTTCAACGTGGTTCCAAGTCATCATATAGCTTGCAGCATTCGATTGGACAGCCTTTTGGACGTACAGCGGCCAAGGACCATGTGGAACATGTATTTTAGAATCGATTCATGAGGTTACGCTCCTCAAGCAATCGTTCGCGTCGACCATCAAAGAAGGAGTCCAACAGCCTCGATGTCGGGTCGATGGTCTGGTTGATCCGCCGTCCAGAAACGACGACCCGATGCTTAGTTGCGTGGATGATCGTGGATGTTTGTTTAGGACTTTCCATGTTTGGGGCGTGCCCCAAAGCAAATGCAAAACTGCAAGTTGGGGTCCAAGATTGAATTCCAGACCGGACTGTGACTGGTTTGTCATGATTTGTCGTGGTCTGTCGGTGAGGGTTGCGAGGACCACTGGAAACTGTTCAATCAAAAGGGTCAACAAATGTCAACAGGATTTCAGGTGAAACTCAGGGACTGATCCGCTTTGAAGCTGTCTCTATTGATCGGGCTCAGTGATATACACGCACCTCACTATCTGGGTATATTTAACTTAAGGACCTGAACAGTTTTGGGAAAGTCTAGTGTCTCTAGTGATGACGATGTTTCGCAGGCTCAATGCAGCTGGAGCACACCACAGAGAAGCCTTTTTCATGCAAAGATTGGGCAATCTCTGCTGCACCACCTGGAACCAGACCTGTCGGCAGGAAGAGCAACAAAAAAGAACCAAAGTCAACGGGATTCGACTGTCGGTTGCAATAATTGGATGACATGCGTTGTTTACACGTAAAACGGTTGCACACCCGTTGGGACACCAGTTACTAAGGACTGAAGAGGTGGAGTGTCTACTGAGGTGACCCCGAATCAGTCGCCCGCCCTACCCCTGCCTTCACTGCCGTTGTTTCCAAGCCAGTCATCTTCCATGCCATGCAGAATCAGCACCGTGCCAACATCTGCCTGTGGGAGGCATCCTTCAACCACCCCAATGACTGCATTCAAACACAATCAATTTAATCCAGCACATCTCCGAGCAAACCTTTACTTGGGGTGCCCTGTTGCTGGACTCACCTCATCCCTACCCTTCCCATCATGTCTGTTTGAAAAGGACAATTGGCATTGTTGGCCTCAATCTGGGGAGAACCATGACTTCTTGGGCAGTAACATGTTGCGCATCTGTTGAGACTTTAACAAATACCCCAAGAATCCCCAAGACCTTCTTGGAGTCCACTGTGTCTAATGGCACCTTTTCGTCCCTTCTTGTCTTGTCTAGGCCTTGGACGTCCAGGAAAAGAGCCGCACTGCACCCAGTGGCTGCGGCAATCGAAGGCCGTAACCTCAACAGGGTGTGTGGAAAAACATGGAAACACCACAAACATGGTGACGCGATAGGCCGAAGAACCAGCTAACCTGGAGGAGAAATTGGTCTTCCAACGTCAAAGTGATTCTTAGGTCCTACGATATCCTGGTACAAACGTAACCAGCGAGTACCCAATTGCATGGTCCTAGCCTCAACGAGCACAAATCTGGGGCAGTTGGATGTCAGCCAACAAGAATACAACAATCAACTTGCCTCTCCAATCCCTCCAAACACCTTTTCACCATTCTTCACCCGAGGGAGGATATCTGCTGTCCGGCCTAAGAACGGCTCCTCAGGAAGTGTGCCATGGCTCATGGCAGGTGGACTCTGGGCCGGTTCCAACAGATCCCTTGTTTAAGAAACATCGGTTTGTTGCAATGCACATGTTGGAAAAGAGCGGTATACGGTATGGGGGGCAATTAAGTCCATGTCGTCCTGGATGCCGAGCATGGGTTAAGCAAAAAGACAAAACTGTTGTGCCAAATCTGGCACAGGGTCTCTGCTGTTCCATGAGATCGGATTCTCTTCCGTTACGGGCACTCTGAAATCTATTCCTTTTGTTGCAAATGCAATGCCATACAAAGTGCAGGCAAGAGCCAAACATCGCAGAATAAAAACTAACCTTAGAGTCTGCGTAGTTGTCGTGTTTTGTAAAACTCGAAACATATGTGGTCCGATCCACGGTCCAACGGTCGGTTTGTTTCGAAAGTTGGTACAGTAAACAAACAAAGGCCACCAAAGGCCAACGATTATTCAGCAATTGGGACTTTACCCCGATCCGCATTGGCTGGGCTCAGCTCGTCCTTCAAGCCAATATGGTCCTCCCAGTTTTCGAAGTAGGTGTAGCCTTCCTCAGAAATTCATCACCCATCCATACCCGTCCAGCAGATTCCAACAGTGAAACGTGCGCTCGCAAGGATCTGTGCGAAGACTCCGAGGCCTCACAACTTGTGAACTGAGACTGACTGATTTTGTTCCTAGGCTGAGCTCCAATGATACACCTTTTTCTTTGCGCGTCAAGCTCTCTTGCAAGCAAATTACACACAGTGCAGTCATGGCGCTACTAGGCCATGAGTGCACGACGCACACGGACCTTCCAAAATCAAAATGAGGCCGTGTGCATGGAAGACGGTGACTCTTGTGGTCAAAGTTTCGCAGCCTTCTCATCTTTGCAATCTTGGTCACTTCATCCCAGTTAACTGCCAGTGAACCATGAAAAAAAGCTGCCTCCATTGCTTTTCTTCTTCTTCAAAGCCTGCTGGACTCTCTGATTGTGAGCGACTGTGGCAAGCAGATTGGTGGAAAACTCTGGGTCTTCGGCATCTTTCAGCAAGCGACCGTGTTCCTTCAACTTATGCAGCGCCGCGATTCGACTTTGCCATCCTGGCTGCTGGTTGTTCTTCTCGTTCTCAATCATTTGTTGCAAATACTCTCCACTAGGCATGGTGAAGGGTCTCATGGCAATTTCATTCAATCGCTCTCTGCACCGTTTCATCCTGAAAATCAACTCCACAAGAGCAAGTTGACTTTGATTCATGTCATTCTCCAGCCCCTTCATAATCTTCTCCTTGTCGAGTTTTCCCTGGTTTGCTGCATCGTACCTGTTCTTCAAGTCGTCAAGAGTCCTGACCTCCTCGACTTCATAGAATTCGTAGATGAATGGATGGTTTTGGTGTTGTGTCCAATGGCACTTTCTGGGACACAATTTGCACTGGCCGTTCTGGTCCATGACACAGCACCTGGCCTTGTCGTCGTCGTTGGCGAAAATGCAATTCTTGTGGCAAGTCGTCTGACACGTAGTACATGAGGTTGTGTTCATGCTGGTGGGATGCTTGCGGCACATTGGCACCTTCACCGTTACTTTGAAGTTTTCCGAGTTCTTCATTGTGGCATCATAGGTCGCAAATTGCTCTGCTTGTTCCACGAAAGAATTCACAATACCCAATGTGATTTTGACCTGGGGTCCCAAGCTTTCCAATGAAGCTTCGAGTTGTTCACGTTCGTCCATAACCTGTTTGCTCAAATGTAGACTCTTGGGTGACATGTGAGCCAAAGAATTAAAGAACTCTGACATGCTCTGTTGCCCCATGTCCCAAAACAGCTTGCTCACAGCATCAGTTGCCGGGCTGCTGGGGTCTACGAACAATGCAGAATTGTTGAACTTGAAGAACTCTTTCATTGGAATGTTGCCCGCTTTAACTGCTTCCAATGCTTGCGGTTTCTCACCATCAGCAAAGGTGAAGCAAAGCAGAATGTTCTCAGCGATGTCCTTCCCAAACAAGCCCAGGATCGCGTTCCACACATACTGCTGCGACTCGGTCAAGCGAGCCGCTGAAGCCGGGGCCACGAAGCAAACACCGGTGAGGATATCGACATGGTCGGACATGTCGTTGAAGAACTTCTTCATTTGATCTACAATCTTGTGATCAAAGTGCAGCCCCCTTGTATCACCAAAGCCAGGAGTGTCAACAATGGTCACCTTGCTTTGCACGGGGCTGCCTTTCACAGCTGGAATCTTGTAGGCTGTGATTGCATCGGTTTGGCTGGCAGCACCTCCTGTTTGCAAGCTCTGTTGGGTGACAGTTTGGAGCTCATCTACCACTTTGAAGCGAATGCCCTCTTCCCATTTGATGCCGAGAACGAAATTGAGCATCCCATCGATCTGCGTGCTTTTGCCCGCACCTGTCTGCCCAACCACCAGAACCACCATTTCCTTGGCGATATCCTCCTCAACATGTGCTCTGGGAATCTGCGCGTCCATCACGCGTAGCAAACAACGATGCTCCCGGGGCTCAATGCCCTCGCCGAAGGAGTACATGTAGTCTTTCACTTGCACCTCTTTGAAAGGGACATATGCCACTTGCAAACCCTCTCGCTGGTCCACACGAATGCAATCCATTCCCTTGAGTTCATTGAAGAGGTCTCCTCCGACCGAAGGTGCGGCCAACTTCCTGTGGCGTTCCTCCATCACAAGCTCTCCCAATTTCTTTCGGTCTTCTTTGGCAAAGTTGCAGTCCACAGCCACGTCCATGAGATCTACCGGCTCCATTGCCATCAGCATGCCGACTTGACCGTAGTTGTCATTCTCATGGTTGCACATGTCCGAGGCATACATTTCCAAATTCTTCTTTTTCAAGAAGTCCACGAGCTCCTCAGGAGGCTTGCAAGGCTCAAAGTCTGTGGAGGCCTCGCTGCTCTTGTCATGCATCGTGTCAAGCACGCGCAACAATTTCTCTTGTTCATCTTGTTGTTCGTCTTTTGACATGCCGTGTTCCACATCCTCATCTGGTTCAGAGAAGGAGCGTCGGGAAAAGGACCGCCGCGAGCAAGAGAGGAAAGAACGGGAGCGTCGGGAGCAGGAGAGACATTGTCTTTGAAGACATTTCATGATTCTTGAATGCTTTGCTTGACTCTTGAAACGGCTCAATGATCTGCCTGCAGTGCAGTCAACTGCTGATTCCAAGCATGTGCAAAACACAAGCTGGGTGTTACTCAAGTCAGCCGAGAGTCCCATGCAAACTTTACACTGTCCAGAAGGCTGTACCTGACAAAAAATGACAAAAGTAGGTGCAGGATGGTCACAGGACCGGACTGTGGTTCTGAGATTTGTGGAATTCAGCTCTCCTCTTCGCTATGAAAACAAATCGGTGGCACATCATCCTGCAGATTCCGGAAGAGTATCCTGGCCAAGAATGGTCGAACGACGTGGCTTTACACTCAGAATGTCCGAGCCTACGCATTTCATTCATGAATTGCCTTTGAAGGAGGAGTTTGACTTCATCCGCTTCAGAGACACTTTCATTCACTTTGTGATTCACATGGATTCATTTCTCCCTTCTATTTGAGCCGACCATGCCATGCATGCTCCTGTTGATCCTTGACCCGAGCCGCGGAGCTTGTCGATGTTCAACGTCCGCCTTGGAGCCGGACGTCAGGTGCTCAGAGGCGGTCAGATTCGAATGGGTCTGTCGTTGGAAATGGCTCTCACCCTGAAGGACGCAAGAAAAACTACAGTAACGCTAACGCCAACAAGGGAGAAATAGGCAGATAATATTTGGAGATATTCAGAGACATGTTTAGCTTGTCTTTATCAATTTGGACCAACATTAACATATAGATCAGTTTTAAAAGCACATGGGAGGTCTGGGGTGACATCTCATCGAATGTACTATCTCCATGCATGTGCAAGTGCTTCTTTTTGTTCCATGTAGGGAGGATGAACACTTGCTCCAGTATCTTTTGCCGCCAAAAGTGCCGCATTAGGTGTGGGTCTCATGTCAATCCATCCATGGCCATCTACCTTGGGCCTCTGCCAGCCATTTCGGGAAAGCTCCAGGGCAATGGAGTTGCCGATGACACCTGCACCGATGATGATGGCATCCTTAGTGGGACATGTCTGGAGGATAACTTAGTCAGCTCTGGAAAGCAAATCCCATGTGAAGGGTTAGACCGTCTTCATACTCCTACTAAAATAGTCCAGTGAAACTGATTGACCCAAGGTCGTCATCAGGTCGTCATCACTGGTCACTTCATGCACTTTGATGATATCATCGCCTCTTGCGGGTGTTAATGTGGAAATATGTGGAAGATCTCAAAAGTTGAAGAATGTCACGACTGAGGCAGCAACATAGCTCCTGGCAATGAGCTTCGTGCGTGGAACATTAACCAAGCGCAGCAGAACACTGAGGCTTCAGGTGTTCCGAAGACCTCTCACGATCGGATCCTTTTTCACTTTCCCGGACCATGCGCTCGTTCGTACTTCGCCTGCTCGTTGCGGCAACGGCCACTGATCACGAGGCCGGCGGAGTTTCAACTCACATCCAAGACCACCTTGATCACGTCATCCTGATACCTCAATCCACGTGTGAAGCTGAAATGAAGAACGTGAAGCGCTGCTTCAACACTGGAAGTAACATTGCACAATATGACTTCCGAAGGGAAGGAGCCAGGACCTGTGCACACAGACCCTGCAGCAGTCGATAATTCCATTACAAAAGAAAGACGCTAAATATCCCTAAAATATCCTGACATATTCCAGCGAAGCCGCTCAGTGGCCAGGGTGAAGGCTTTCTGGATCTCCACCAGTGGAAACGTGTGCGTGATGATGCCTTCGGGGCAGTCGCAAGAAAACAACAGAAGCACACAAGTCTTTGAACATCTCCAACCCTCTGGGGTAATTCACAGAAAATCCAAATTAAACTCCTTGCATGCAGCAAGTCCTTGATTTGGCCCACAACATGCCATCGTGCATGGTAGGGTTTGCCTATTTGGGAATTGGATCACGTTTTATCACCCCGTCACCCCGTTGGGGGCATTGCTCTTCCCACAACAACAGGTTTACTGTCATGAGAAGCCTGCGATAGTTGCCAGCAACATCCATTAGATGGGCTTCTTGGTCCATCTATGTCAACGGTGTTGCGCAAATCAATTATATTGTTGCCTCCCCTCATCGTTCAGCTATGTCCACGTTACTTTGCTTCTTCCATGTTCTTCCCTCCATGTGCTTCGCCTGCGGTGCCGACTCCTCTCGACCCGACTCCTCTCGCTCAACCCTCGCCTTCGGTGTCAAAGCGCCCAGTCTCCAAAAGCTCGACAGCTGCGGGGAAGTCGACGCCTGGCGGAAGAAAAAACGACAAGGTCAGTGGACGCCGATGGCGAGGTCCGTCGACGCATCTCTCGGTTCCTGGTTCTTAGACATCAGCTGCCAGTGCACCCCCTTTCACAAGTCCAGCCTGGATCCGGGAAGACGGAGGCCATGAGTGTCACATTCTTCCGGAAGAACTTGCCATAGTGGAAGTTATAGACCTTGAAGAGTGCATCTCAAGAACAGGTCAAACAGCAGCTGTCGAAGGTCAAACAGTTAGACCTTCTCAAATGCATCTGGACCCTATTCATTGGGAGGGTGGACGTTGCTCATCACGGAAACTGCTCAAAGCAGAAAGTCAACGCGCACCAAAAACACTCCCTCAAGCATCCTTATCTTCTTGTGTATCCGGGTCATTATATATATCCCAAACGAGAACGCCGTGCTGGTCACGTCGGCCATGGATCCTGAGTTCCCTGACGGGATCATCTGGAACGCCAAAGGCCACGACCGTTCCACCACTTCGCACCAAGTCCAAGGCTTCATTGATGGTCTCCTGGATCCAACAGGTGAAATCGCTGTGGTATGAGCTCAAACAAACCCTCAAGCCGACTCAAGCCTTCATTGGTGTTTTAAATCAACAGGTCAAACTTAGTTGCATTCTATTGGCTGTCCAAACTCATCTGTTACCTGAGATTCTTGGAGCCAGCACCTTTCCTTTTGTGCAATGGCCACACTGAATCGTGAGTCATGACTCTGACACAAAATGGAATCCGAACACCCACCCTTTAGGCATACATTTTGTCCCCTCTCCAATCTCCTCAAATTCAATCCCTAAATTTGCTATCTCATAATGTTATCCATTTCATATATTTCATCTTCATCCCAACTTCCAAGCATTTCCATCCCCATCCAGGCCATCCCCCCTATCTCCTGGTTGTGTCCCACCATCTCCAGCACCAGATCTGCTCCCTTCGGCGCCACCGCCTTCACCGCCGTCAGCGCCTCTCCGGGCGCCACGGCCCGACCGGCGCCGAAGCGCCGGGCCTGGCGCCGGCGGAACTCCAGGGGCTCCACGGCGATGAGGTGCCTCGCTGAGCCACAACGAGGCACACCGCGAGGAAACGCTACGCTTCTGCCGCGGATTGTGTGTGAAAGTTCTACAGTATTAGGGGCACCATTTGATGTACCATGGAGCATGCTAGTTCTGCCCAACTCAAAACGTGTTCTTAGGTGCTCATGTGATTTCGTAGCAGTCGTAGTGTTCGCATTTTGACCAATTTAACAGGAAGCCGCTGCACGACAGCCCAAGCGAAGGAGCATGAACCTTTCAGTGAGCCACTTTGAAAATGCCAACCACCGCAGAAATCGGAAGCCCTGGCCTTAGGCACATCTGAGACAAGAGTCGCGTGGTCATCAACCCATTTTGCCCCTGCCTGAGATGCTCCGACCCCCAAAAAAAGCATCTTGCAACGTGAGGTGAGGCGTTGTGAAGCTAATCAGCTGCGACGATTTCAAAAGGACAGGGATGGACTTGTTACTAATAGCGAGGCCCTCGTTGCTACTTGACTTTTCTGCGCAGGAACATTTGTGGGCTGGTGAGGTAACTGCAGCAAATGCTGCGGAACTTGTGTAAGCTACCCAACTGCTGGAATTTCTAGGAGTTAATGGACTGGCTATCCACCGACAATGTCATGTTGAGTACCGTGGCCTAACTTCTCCGGCAATGCAACAAATGGATCATATCCAGCTCATGGATGATGGTCGTAGTCTAATCAAGAAAACTCACTACCACAAAAACATGCAATGAAATCAGGACTGAAGGACCCTAGTATCACCACGGTCTGGCCAATGAGCGACCCAAGTCTCCTGGTTCAAGCAGCAAGTCTTGGTTTGACCGGCAACGAAACAGAAGAAGTATAGGTCGTTTGTGTTGCCCACCAGCATGCTTGCCTATTCATTTCTGTTCCTTCCAATCAGTACTCCGTACTCATAAGTCACCCGTCTTTTGATATGTGAACCGCCAAGAGAGCTGTCCTCAGCATGCAAAGCAAAGACCCCAAGGCTTGAGCAAGCAGCATTCGTGGCACACACTCCTGCCCAGTCTGCAGGTCATGTGTGGTGACCCATCACTTACGGGCGGGTCAAAAACAAGAAACAACAAGAAACAAACAAAACAAACCAGAAGTATCCCAAGATATCCCAAGCCATGGTAGGTGAAGATTCAATATCTACAAACTGCCATGATGTCTACCGAGTTGACAGGCAAAACTGGTCCGAGATCTTGTACGCGTAGAGCTCGTGGCTGGTGAAGATCTCCTGACATTTCAAGAAATGAAAGCCTACAACTAGTTTTGTGAACCCCCTAAGGAACGGCAGCTCTACATATAGGATTTGGGACCTGCTGCCAAAACTGGTGCAGTGAAGTGGCTGCGAAGCCACCTCGCACGGGCATGTTCTCCAAAAGCACCTGGGTAAATCGCTGTGAGCTAGTGCAAGTAATGCAAGTGTCGTCAGCAATCAAAAGGCAGCGAAGAAAACGTGAAGAGATGTGAACAAGTATACAAAGGATGCTACTAAGGGGTACTAAGGGGCTCCTGGCATCGCTACTAGGAGCAAAGGACGCTACTAGGAGCTTTTGTGCCAAGCAGTTGTGTCATGTTTTGTCTGTCTTTCCAAAGTGAGTGGATCCGCTGAGAGTGGATCATTGTGCACATTCTCATCAAACCATTCCGCTCTGCTGGAAGCATGGGCCTTTCCACCAAAACCAGGAGGATGGTAGTCATGGTCGTCCCAGTCCCGATGCCATAGCAAAGCACCACACACACAAGTGATCGTCCAAACGGTCCAAACGCTCCAGTTACGCCAGCATCTGCCAAGAACTTGCGTCCGCACAGCTCAGTCCAACCGGGAGGGACACAGCCGACAGCCTGCTCCCGCCTTAAAATAGGAGGAGGGTAGCGCCAGCACAGCGTCTCCAATGGCGAAGCGATCTGAACGCGAGTCCAGCACAACACCGATGGCCTAGGGCGGACCGGGTCAAAGCACGGCCAGGACGTTGAGAAGTAGGTTTGCAGATGGTCTCAGTTCCCTACATGTTAGTTGCGGGTGGACCTATTTATGGTTCTAGGCCTGCATGAAATGGTTGATGTTTGAAGACCTATCTTGTGAAAATCAGTTTTTCCAGCCGAGAACGGCCACCTTTCCAAGCTCAACATGGTGTCATCTTCCGAGAATCCCTCCTCCCAAACCAAGGGCAGCGGCAGCCGGCTGTGGGTTTCACCACCAAACGACCGTGTCGCCGCCGACCGTGTCGCCTCGTGCCCACAGAATCCATCGCGATCCCAGTAGAGGGAGCCCAAAGAACTGCTGGGCCTCCGTCCTTGGCGGCCGAAATGGGAAGTTCCAACAGGTCAGACCGTCTCGGATCATGCTCGCACCGGATTCATCAACCTTCCCCCGGGTTCCCTTCAAAGGTGAACAAGGTCAACAAGAGGTCAACAAGGTTTGAGATTGGAGGTACTAGAGAACAGTCCAACTGGTTTTAAGCCTCTTTTAACTCTGTTAACAACAAAGTTGGAGACACTTCAACAGGAGACACTCCCAACATTCTCTGATGTGTCTGTTGGCCCAAAGGCATTGCCACGCTCGCCAGCCGTCATCGTTCGTCAAAGTCTCGGAAGAACGGGAAGTCCGAGCCGCACAGAGAGGCATACTTCACCCGAATCAACAACGAACCTTCGCCGTTTCAACAACAGGCTACCAAATGAAATTGTCTGGACTAAGTCCTGGAGCAACAAACTGAAAAAAAAACACAACATCATACTATCAAATGTTTATCATGCTTCTCCCAAATAAAGAGTTAAAACAGTTGACTGTTTGACCGTTTTCGCGTCAAGGCAGTTTCGTTGGGCAGTCGACAGTCACTGGCTTCAACGTACAGTCACTGCTAGCGCCTGGAGGACAGTCATCCAAGAGCAGCTTTGGTGAGCGCAGGACTCGAAGCACCTGTGGTCGTCGCCCGTTTGGCTTTTGTGGTCGACGTCAGTGGGATTCATTTGGACACCATCACGAAAACCAAGCCTCACAGGCGAAGGAACACACATTTCTCCCGATCTCGTGTTGCTTCGGCTGATTGCTAGCTGGAGCCACAAAACTAGTCGACTAATAGTGACTATTATAGGGTATTCCCACTCGTATGATCGAGTCAAATATCAAAGGTTGCAGACTGCAATCGACACTCGCAGGTAGCTTCCAGGAGTTTGCACCATGCCAGCTATTTCAAGATGCACACCATCATGCCGAATCCATGTCCCTTGAGTTGGGGGATGGGACATCCAAATTCAAAGACTTTGGTTTAACGTTGTTTAATTCACATATCATCAGGTTGATATTCTATGACTCTAGGTTATCAGCCGACTTGCTGAGGAACTGTCTCTTCAATACGCTGTAATGTATTGGTTGACCTTGTTGCAGCTGAACTGGATCCAACTCCCAAGCAAAAGGCATCAACAGAACTTCTCCTGGACCCAAACGCCTCAGACTTTGCCTTTGAGGCACATGCCTCATCACTGTTACACCATCTAAACACACACCAGAGCTCCTGCCCCGCAGACCTATCGCCGTGCAGATCCGGCACCTTGGAGCCTAGGAGGCGAGCTGCAGCAAAGCTCTCATGCTCGTGGCCTCCGTCATAGCCAGCGCATGCACAATAAAAGGGCTACCCCGGGCACAACAGCAGGAAGACTCTGAAGGTTCAAAAAGTGGTCTCTTCTTTGTGCAGTTTCCCAACATGTAGTGGTCAATGACCAAGAATCAGGTGAGCCTGACTTCAAGATCAGTTTCCCGAACATCTCGGGTCGGTGGAAGTTCACCACGGCATCATGTGGATCCACCCAGCTTGACCAAATCATCCTCACAGATTTTGAGTTCATGGTGCAGTTGGCTACAGGCTACACATGCCAACACTTACTCAACGAGGCTCATCTTCATCTTTACAGCCGATTCATCCAAAAATTGTTTCTATAAAGTCCCAGCAGCTCATTCAGCAAGGCATCCATTTCTTTTTTGTCCATATCTCTTGTTTTTAAATGTGCTGGATGTTGTGCACGATGAAGCCCAATACGGATCTCACTCGTGATATCCTCATGTGGCAAGTTTTTAGCTGACAAGGCAGCGTCAATTCCGTCTACCCAAGCAAGCATATGCCTTCGTATACACGACAAGGGAGGCGTTGCTGTATGAAAGACATGACAAATCCTGATTACCAACAATTCACAAATAAGTCCATGGTACGCATATATGTATTCGAACAGGCCAAATACCTTGTTGAAGCCCCCTTGAACCTTACAAATGAAAGCTGCTACGAACTTTGAGAAGCCAAGAGTAGCCTAGATCTGAAACATTCCAGCACCTAGCGGTGAGCATACGGTCCAAATTACATGTGTGATTGCTGAATCCTCACCGGAGTCTCCTTGAGACGAGAACCAAAGGTTTGCTGCACCCTTGGGTCGTTCCAAACTCGTCCAAGGGGCAAAGCCCAAAGCTTTCCATCTGAACTCAGCGATGACCTTTTTGCATTGATGGCCAGTGACAGGGAATGAAGCACACACGCTTCCTTTGCCTGAAAACACATTCATTTTCAAACAGGATGACTCATATATTCCATAGACGCTAGGCACAAAGAAGAGCTCTGTGCCGGCGAAATGTCTAGAATACTAATAGCGATGTTACGTTCGTAGCTTCTTGTTACTAAGCCGCCGGCCCTTGGGCGCGGCGTGTTTTAGGTGATTGGTTTGTATGCTATCCTAGTAGTAGTTTTGTTTTTAGTCTAATTGTACCCACGGCGATGGCCTCCACCTAATAGCCATGGCCTTCCCCGACCTGACATCGGATGTTCCAATTCTCCAAGTAGCCACACGAGAGGCAAAGCAGCTGGCCGAGCTGGGGTCGGCTTCTGTGGCCAAGGGGAGCTCATCAGTCCAGACCTTGCCGGGGTTTGGACGAGACCTTGAAGTGAAACTGGAAGAGGCGGTGTCAGATGGCGTAAGTCGCTTTTTGTTCCTAGTAGTAATGGTCTCCAACCTACAAGCGATGGCCTCCAATAAGGTGTGTAAGATGGTGTAGCTGTTTGTTCCTAGTAGTATCGCCAAGAGCTCCTAGTAGCTTCTTGTTTCTAATAGCGATGCCTAATAGCGTCCTGTACATTCCAACAAGAGGTGTAAGATGGTGTAAGAGATAGGTCTATCTGCTGTTTTTCCATGATTGTTCAACAGGATACATGTGACGTTTGGATGGCATGGAGAACTTTCCTGACAGTGCAAATAACCAACTGGTCCTCTTGGTACACGCTACTTAATAGTAAAGCTTTGACAGAGACACCTAAGCCTAAGACTGACTGTCAAAAGATGTGACATCAGAGTAAGCCTCGAACTGAGAAGGCATCCGAAGAATCCCAGTCAAAGCCAAAAATACCCCCAAACCGGGCTCGGTTGGTCAAAGCCTTGCAGCAGCTTCTGGCTCGAGGCTTGAATTAAGTGGAAAGCAGGAGAAGCAGTGACTCTCAACCCTTCATAGTTCTAAAAGGTCTCTACACCGGCACAAGTTCTTGAAGACACTCCTCCGCCATTTGCCCAATTCCTGCTTTCTGTGAGTTCGATGTGCTCAATGAGATTGTTCACTGAATTTGGCCATCCTGATCGGCAGCTGTTTTATAGTTACATCACAATGTTGCTTTGTCAGAAAGGGTACAAATTGTGGCCGGTCACCCAAACTGCTGAATTCAAGGCATTTCTCCAAGAAGAGTGAATTCGTGATCCGACCGTCAAGTAAAGTGCGGAAGGATCTCGGCCTTTCCGTCATGGTTGATCTCGAACGCGTAGTATGTGTCCGAAGGGTTGCCTAAAAAACAAGACAAAAAAAAACAACGCTAAAGAATCAAAAGTCAAGACGTCAAGGTTTGTGCACATCTTGTCAAATAGGCCTTGCAGGCTCCAGCACCTGCGGCTATGTCCTTTTGTGTCAGGTTTTCATATATAATAATCGTGCTCAATGTCAATCCTCACCCATGAGATCTTCATTTCTGGGAGCGTCCATGGACCGCATTGCCATGCATTACACTAGGCTGGACTTCGCCTCCTTCAGTGGGCTGCCACAGGAAGCATTCCACGCGCTCGTCGAAGAGCAAGCTGCACTGCTCTGCGGGCAAGCCCTTAAGAGGACCCTGGAGGAATATCAAAGTCGGCTTGAGATTGGCAAAAAGACAAACCACGAGACTGCGCAAGAAAAGAACGCAAGTGGAATATGGTGAAACTGTCCAGCTGTATATGTACCTGCAAGGTGGGATTCTCTTTCAGCTGCACTGGAGAGGCAACTTTGCCGTGAAGCTCCCAGCAAACGTAGAGGGCCTCATGCAAGCTCTGTGCAAGCATGAAGGTTGCGGTACTCTTGTCATATTGTTTACTATATATATATAATTACCGTAATTACATATACACTGCATTTATTGTAATAGTAAGATTCTATTATCGTTATTATATATTCACAATACAACGGATGCATCTTGCATGGCTACAGTATCTCCCTGTATGGCATCTTGCTGATGGCCCAGGCATCTTCTTTCCGGGGCAACTCCTCCTAGCCTCTCGTGGGACTTGACTTCAAGTTCAGGTTGTAGGTCAGGGTCCAGCATCGTCCAGCCAGAGAAATAAAAAAATTGCTCAGGATGGTGACCTGTGTCTTTCAGCTTTTTTGATCAACAGCTGAAGCTGGGCTTCTGGCTTGCTCATCCCACAACAAGCGCACCGTGCTCGAACTGCTAGGTGCACCAGGCCATTGCTCAGGCTTCTTCAAGATATCTTAGCCAGGTGTCGGGCAACAACCGTGGTCTCAAGGGCTTTTCTCTGGTCACACATAGATAGTTCGAGTTCGACCTCTAGTTCGACAAATCCAACACAAGGACTGCAGCAGTGCATTGGGACATGGCGTAGCTGGCTGCAGCGCATTGTCCGTGCTTTGTTGTCCGTTGAAACAGTCTACTCGATATAACAATATATAACAATATAATCATGAAGGAGTTTGATCAATAACTCGCCTTTAGCTCTTCTCTCCGTTCACCCCCCTCCGCCGCTCCGAGCTCCGTCCAAAGGGCGCGGTGCCGCCGCCGCGAAGGCGTGATACGGCGACGCTGCCGCGTCCGGCCGGGCGCCCGGCCAGGCCACGGCCTGGCCCCCAGGGGTGACAAAGCTTGAAGGGGAAGTAAGCACCACACCAATTGTCAAGGGCCTTGGCATTTCCAACTTTGCTTGGGTTGAATTCGGAAACTGCAATACCCTCCCTCGTCAACATTAACTTTGTTTGAACTAACTAGTATATTATATATATATATGTGTGTTTATTCATTCAAACATATTCAAACCAATGTTGTGTCAATTCCATGACAATGGATCTTTTGAAACTGATGTGGATCTGTTGACGAACCCACCAGCGAAATGTCGTTGAGTCATCACCCCCCTCCCAACTGACTCACAACGGTCAAGAACAGAAACGGCCGACCGGTTGGTCTGCCTGAAGCATCGAAGCAGTACAATGGTCCCCGAATGTCCCATGAGTAGCTTGGATGAGACAGGACGGTGTGAAGTTCGATGCCGCAGGTTGGGTTGGCTCTGTCTGAGTTTAAAACTCATCCATCAGCGTTAGGAGGCAATCCTGATCACATTCAAGATTTGTGGTAGCAAGTGGGGAATGATTGTCAACTCCTGTTGTGCATGAGAGTTGCAATTTTGGAGGGAATCTTTGTCTGTATGGTCTGAGTCTGCACTGGCTGCATTGAACTTAGGTGAACGGCGGCTTGCGGCATTTGCGGCATGCTCGATGTCTGAACTCGACAACGGAGATTCTTGTTCGATTTCGGAAAGGAAACTCTTTCGACACAAAGCACTGAGGGATGATCTGTCACTATCATAATCTACCACACAATGAGGCCTAATGTCTTTTTCTACAAGAGACACATCACCAGCTCACGAAAAATCATTTCATCCTCCAGCCCTCCTCCCAGTGCTGAAGCTGCGGAAGGATCTCCGAAAAGCGGAGACCCTCTCCATGCGCCACATGGCAATTTAGCTGTAGGTGCAGGAAAGGACGTTGCTCACTTCCATGAGAAGTGTATGAGATCGGCTCAGTGTCATGCTGCTGGAAGTGCGTCCAAGCTGGAGCTAACTTGGCGAAGGTGAGTGAGGTGTAGCTGCGTCGCGGCTGCACTCTTCCCCTAAACCAGCGTCTCAACAGGCCTGAGAACGTCTCAACAAGCGTGAAACATCCAAACATGCTCCTTTTTTGATGCCTTTTGAGTCAATTGCTTTTGACTTTGCTCAGCTTGATCAGCTCAGCTCGCAGGTGTTGACTTCATGTTGCCAGAAGGAACCCTTCAAGACCAAAAACGCGCTGAGCGGTGCTCCCCTCAGATTTCCCCTCTGCTCTCTGGCTTCACAAGTGAAGAGTAGGAATTCGTGGTGAATTTCTGCTTGTGACCAATCGTAGTTTCAAACAGTTGCTGATCCACGCTACAGCGACTCGAACATGAGATGATGACGTAATGCAATGTGAAGGAGGGGAGGAGGATGCAAAGGATGGAAGGCATCGTCTTTTTTGCGCAATGTTGGAATTGGTTTGGGCAGCAAAGAACATCTGCCCGTTGAAACGTTCACCGGCCCCTTTGCTCAAGCTGCTGATCCGAAACATCATACACGTCTCAGCCCATTGAACTAAACCGACATCTAAAAACAATTGTGGGCAGCTCAAGGGTCAAGAAAATTGCGCTGTTCAATGGCCATGCGAAGGTCTGATTCAACAAAACATCTACTCGGGAGGCTTGAATTGCAACAAAGCAATGTCTAAGTGTGATATACATGTCGTGGGACCTTCGCATTGAATGGCATGAAGCCAGGAAACTATCCCAAAATTTCATAAACAATGAAAAAGAGTGCATGCCTGAATTTCATCAGAATTGCACCTCCACAAAATCTACCAGCTCAGAACTGCCCTCCTTCTCGCCTGACTACACTTGCCACTTGTCTCG